ACATAAGGAATTTGATCGGCGCCGATCGCTCGTGTATTGAGAGGGTAAGGGAGAGGAGAAGTGACCGCGTTGCCGTATAGCGAGTCTGGTATCGATCGGTGCTGGCCTGTCGGGCTTTAAGAAAGTGTTGGAGTATGGGAGAGCACCAGATTGTGTGAACGCAGCTGCTCCTCTCCTATTTCCCTATACTCTCTCTTAAAGCACAAGCGGTCGGCATCGATCGCTTCCCGTCTGCGACTGCGTTCGCGCCTATAGGGTTGGAGCGCGCGTTGACGCGTGTTGCAGCGCATTACAGCGCGTCGACGCGCGTCATCACGAAGTCTGAACACTGCCTAAGGTTCTGTGACTTCAGGTTCCGAATGTACCCGAACGTAGTTCGCAGAATTACACTGGCTCGTCATCATTTGGTGCTGCTTCTGATCTATCTGGGCCCATCCAAAGTCCACTGGAAAAATTGCTTGCTGCTGCTGGAGTCCAACCATCACAATTCACGGGCGGATCGCAAGAAAGCAGCTCCTTCCAGAACAGTTCTCAAGGTGTTGGACCAGTTGGAACACGCATGCCACCGCCATCTGTCCGTCCGATGAGTTTGGAGGAATTGGAGCGTAAACTCACGGAGCAAACCAAGTAAGCTCAATGCGAGACCTGCGGACCTCGTCTCCTCTGACTGCACACAGACGGAATTTCTATATTCCTATACTTTATTTCTAATATTGTTGTAGTCTTTATGATTTTCTTGTTTCTTTATTTTTTTCGTCACTTTCTAGTTCTTTGAAATCGTTGTAGATGCACCCGGTTGTTGGGGGTGCATGTGTGTTTAGTTTTCTTCTCGTGTGTTTTGGGTGCGTAATGTGGTTTTCATGTGAGAGATATTTATCATCGTTTCTCTTTATACTTTTCTTTCTTTCTTCCTTGGCGTTTGCCATTTCTATTCATTATATTATGATTGTATTCCAGTATTTCACTCAATTACTGTGTATTCGAAATCGAGAATTTGGTTTGGTTTTGTTGTGTTTACCGGGTGAGCATTGGGGGACAATACGGTGAGCAGTAGCGTTCCTTTCTGCACAAATATCACATTTATCCCTGAGCCAAGTCAAGCAGTCCACGTTTCTTAGTGAATAGCAAATGTGGTGTGGCTTACGGATTGTATAGAATGCCTTTAGGGATAGCATGACGCACGTGTTTTTGTCACTATTCTGTGAGCAGTTCGGCACGGGAGGGGCATTTTGCACTTTTGTTGCTGTTTCGTGGGCTTACAAGAGTTGACAGGTTCTATCATGGTGGCACGACGAGCCTGCTCCAACTCACAGGAATTCACAGGTTTTAGAGTGAGACTTGTAAACCGGAACTAGCGAGGCAGCAAAAGTGCAGAAACCCACCCCCCCCCCTTCGCCGAACTGCACCCTATCCTGTGTATTTGTCCGTGTGTGTGTTTCTGTCTCACTTCCTCTCTCTCTATATCTATTGCGGCCGATTTTTCATTAATTGGCGATTTGATCTGGTTTTCTTGCTTACCGGTGCGCGGCGGGCCAGTGTTTCGCTGTGTATGTGTGTGTTTCATGTCATGATGGTGCAGTCCGGCTACCTCGACCCTTCTGTGTAGCACAGGGTTTGTGGGTGTCCCCCCAGACTGTGCTCGGTTGCGGTGTGCCGCCTGAAATGCTGATAAGTGTTGTCTTGGCGAAGAATGTTTGTTTTGGGCAGCCCTGTGCAACGTCTCTTTTCTTCTGCGATTTAGGAAGAAGATATGGAAAAAGTTACCGTTATTTTTTAGCCAACTAGTTTGCTTTCTTAAGGAATCCAAATGGAAAACTCGTCGCTTCTTTTTGAGCCTTCTAAAATCACTATTAATCTTTACTACCCTAACATGTTATGCCTATCTACATTCGTATAATAAAGGATGTTTCGAAGATGCTGTCTTGTGTTATGGAAGGAATGAGGAAATTGAGGTGGATATGGGGGAGCAAGGTACTACAGGCACCTTTCGCGGTCCCAGATTGTGAGTAATGATGCTCAGTTGTTAATGGCAAGGTGATAAGCACTCACGAGTGGAGAAAATGGCAGAAAAAAACCGCCGCAAAGGCTTCTGATAAGGCCTTACTCCGAATCGAAATTGTTCAAGGTGATCGAAACAGGGGGCGTGTTTGGACGAGTATTCGCTTGTTGGTGTGACAACGATGTCGGCTCTTTTCCCTTGTCACCTCATTCTCACCACTCGGGACGGAAGCTCTAGTCGCGGAATAACCGCATCAGCAAGTATCAGAAATGAACGGTGGGCGTTGTATGGACAGCGGGCGGGGCATTGCCTTCTTCATGACCTGCTAGCGTCCTACACTGTGCTTGCGGACTGGACTACTTGTCCAATTAGGGTATCTGCACATCAGTTTAAGGCCAAATGTGCATTTGTAAATGCTAGTCGAAGTAAAGTAATTCTGCCCGGATGATGGTAATCTCATTTTACAGATCGTTCAGTCCTTCAAATGCCCAGAAATCCTCCAATTTGATAGTAGCGCCGTAGTGGGTTCGTTGTAGACGTCGTTGCCATTCCGCTTACAATAACAACTGAAGGTCCTTCAGTGGAGGAGCAGCATCCGTAGTAGGCCCAGTTCACTTAGAAACAAATAGTTGCATGCATCTGAGTTCTGCAAGTATGCATTAGCCCCCCCCCTTCCATATCCTACCTACCGACTTTTCTAAGTTCCCGCCAACGTCCCAGCACTGTTTCAAGGAATAGAGTTCCTTCTCTAAAAAAACTGTCGGCTGAGAGCGGCGGTGGAGACAGAGAGCACATAGGCTCACATGAAATAGGAAAAAGCTAGGAGAATTCAAGAACTAATACATTTTCCTCGAAGGCGAATATGACCACCCCTTCCCTCTGGTGGCCAAATACGACCTCTGTCGCTGTCGATCGCCTAATCGATATCATACCGTTGATCGATTGAGCCTAAATCTTTTAATAATCCATGTTCTATACTGTAGCCGTAATCTTGACGCGAGGCTTATTGATGTAGGAATCAGGTACATCATTCCGTTGGGAAGAACCCTTTCGCGCTGAGCTCGTACCTGGTTAGCTGGACAGGAAGCTCGCCACTTTGTCAGCTTGAAGAAAATTTTCAGACGCGGGGCAAATTCATCCCCTGGTACGTTTTCTTGGTTTTTCCCCGCTTTCATATATGCTATGTATTCCCCTTAGCAAGTTATTGCTGATTAACGAACAGAACTCGTTTGAAAGATCAGTCTGCAGTGGAGCTTATGCGTAAAGACCAGCAGTAGTGGCCAATATTGCGTACGTTCTGCTGCCTGGGAAACAAGCCCTCCGTGAATTTTCCATATGTACGATGTGTCCCCATCCTGCCTATCATCTTTCCATGCTTTTCCTAACTTTCTACCATTCCCCCTCTCCCAGCTGTGCGGAGAATGCGCCGGTTCCCCATCCTCTCAAAAAATTCCTTTGACAAAAGTGCCGTCGATGTGGGAGAGATTACAACCAAAACAACCACTAAGGCTCGTCCAAGAACAGTAGCTGCCTTACTAGGACTTTGGCTACGCCGCTAACTAGGGATTGGCGGTGGGGGGGTGGAGGGATGGCGGAGAACAACCACGAAAACCCAAATCAACAACTCTTGAAGAAAGTAGATCAATATGACCCCCCTCCCTACTTCCCGAGCTGGAGACTGTCGGCGTATGACATGCCTGGGTCGCGATGGGGTGTCCTGGGAGTGCCTAACGCCACGTCCGGTTCCAATCAATGCAGCAACGAACCAAGGGCTTTTTGATCGCATGGCTTTACTAAAGCTTGAGAGTACGAACATATACAAAAAGTTCGGCCCGTAGCGCGTCAATGAAATTCTGAAAACAAATGTGGTCACGTTCTTAGACGGCGTGACGGGTGCGAGACTTAAGGAAGGCGGGCGCTCGCTGTATTGCTCCTGCAACAGCTTTTGTGGGCTGCATCAACTCGACTGACCACGTTATGTGCTTGCTGATGTTTTCCTTCACGAAAGACATTCGGGTCCTTCGGAAGACCACTACTTGCGACGACACCCCCAATTCAAATGCGTTCGAGTCATTTCATCATTCCTGAACACTCCTTTCAGAAGACTCTGAGGGCGCTGTTTGGCGACGGGGAGGGGATTTTGCACTTTAACGACTTCCCATCGACGTGTCGACCCATCTAGACAGCCTCTTCTCGAGTTGACAGGTTTTACCATGATGGCTTGACGAGCTTGCCAGCTTCACAAGAGTTCACAGGTTTCACCAGAGTGAGACTTGTAAACCAGAACTAGTGAAGCAACGAAAGTGCGAAATGCCCCCCCCCTCGGGGCGACTCCGAGTTATCAAGGCTACCTTTAGTTGCTCACTAACAGAAGCCAGTGTCAGTGAACTCTACAAACAACGACGGTCAACCCTCTTATCACTCTGGACGCTATTGATTGATAGCAGCTTCGTCACCTCATATCAATTTTATTACCTTTTGCTGTTTCCTCGTTTTTTTCAGTTATCCTCCGTCAGTTCCGCTCTAGTCGGGGAGAATCTCCATATTTCATGATTTGCTATGGATTCGCTAATATTTTACATATTCAGAGCTCCAAGCCTTTTTTGAGCGTTCTATTTTTTGAGTACTATTCCAAGAGGGCCTGCAAGCCTAAGAAATAAACTCTGAATGTGAGCTTTGTGGCCATCTAAAGAGGAATGCTTGAGCAGGCAATTCCAGAAGACTCTCGAGGGAGAGCGCTGATCAGGAGATACACGTCGACACAACTCGGTGAATGCGCGGCAATCCCACCAGGTCCTAATTGATTTGGCCCAAAGCTGCTACAGTATGCCGACTTGACCAACAAGAAAACACTAGCTGGTTGCTACACGTTGCTCCTGGTCCCCGCAGCTCTCTACTTTGTAACCTTTTTTTCTAGGGGGAAAAAAGTTGGGAATAAAGTCATTCAAAGGGTATTCAGTCTACTCGGCATCGACCATTCAGCAAGAGGCCAGCATATCCGAGCCGCAGCGAAGTCGGTAAAAGAGACGTTACGAGCTGGGTCGTCCGCATCAGGACTTTGTGGTGTGTCAAGTGGCGCCGTGGATCAGGCATCATTCATGGGTTTGGCAGCTCGCAAGTCGCCTTCCCCCACCGCTGCATATTGAATGTGCCAAAGGCGCAGGGATGCACGGGAAAATGGGTTGGCCATAAACCATGACCACTCCGAAGAACTTCTTAGTGTTAACGGATGTTTGTAGCAGCGCAGTTCAAAGAGGGGGCGGAAATACTGTACTATTAGGTTGTCTCCAAAAGTTCGTGGACATTTCTTGAAATCTCGTATCAGATTTTTCCGCAGCGTCATTTCGAGATCCAGTTATGTGTTCTGTGGGAAGTGTATTGAGTAAGCATCCCACAGCTTCTTCACCGTCCCTCGCAGTCGCTGTTCTCATATCCAAAACGGTAATTGAAATTCATCATTTTCGACACACTTCGCTATATGAATCTCCACCAAGCCACAACGTGGTTAAGCGGCATTTCCCTTATTTAGATCTTGATGTGACCTTCCACAGTACTGCTCTGGAATGGCCCAATTGGTTCCGCTTTAGTGACTTCTATCTGGGTGGAAAACTTTGTCCAAGGAGGCCACCTGCCTTGGATTGAACCTACTCATAGTTCCTTGATGCAAAAGCCAATACGTACAAATCAACTGTGGGCTGTCCTAGTCTCAGCACTTGACTGGTCTCAAAGCACGATTGAGAAAGGGCCTCGCTTCCTTAGAAAAGTTCTGAAGTTTGGTCAAAATTTTTTTCATGAGTTGACCAGTACTTCAAGGGGAGCACGTATGGGTACTGTCTACAACTTCTCTCCCGCTTCCGCTGTACGGCTGGTTGAACAGCACTGTCACTGGATATGGAGTGGGTGCCTCTAGATGAATCACTCCTGGGAGCGCCAGCGGCTAGATCCCCCAGAAAGGGCAGAACCGATCGCGCAATCCTATCAATCCAGTAGGGCGGTGAGACTGTGTATGTGGTGGGGTTTCTTTCTCCCTTCCCATAATGGAATTTCTTCTTCTCAGCGCTGTGGTAACCTACGAACCCTATTGTATTCAACTGCAAAGAGGGTTTGAAAATCGCTAAGCATGTTGGTCCCAAAACCAGCAGGCGGAGCAGATATTTGCTTCTCCACCGCAGCTCAGGGCACCATTTGGATAACAACCGCTGCTCGCAGAGGCCCGAAGCCTAACTGGCGACATTCCACCAGCAGTCTTCGTGTTTGCCCGTACTTGGCTTTCTCCGATCGCCAGCTAACTATCGCCACAGCGGTGATAGTACCTCAAAAAAGATTTTCATTTTTATCAATTATTCGTTGATTACTGTACCTGGTTATTTTTTTTTGTTTCAGTAACCTTTTTCTAGCTACAGTAACGGGTTTTAGAAAAGTGACTGGAGAGAAGAAAAGTAAGTGAAGAGTTGAAAAAATTTCATGGCATGGCAATAGAGAGAAAGCGAGAAGAAGAAAAATAGGAGAACGAGAAGAAATCAAAATCTTTTGGTTGATCCTAATTTTCCACGGTTTTGAACATAATTTTTATCTTCAATCATCCGAAAAATTTCAAATTGTCGGAGCATTCTATGGAAAATTTACAAGTAAAGGGCGTACAATGCAAGGTGGCTTTACTCTGCTCCAAGGACAAGGTCTGTTCCGTCGCTGAATGGAGCGAAATCCTCATATTGAAATTACAGAGTTCCTGATAAAAGGGAAATGCCGTTGGATAGGTCTCAAAGGGAAGGGGTCAAGATCAACCTATCAAAACGAACTCGCATCTTTCGTAGTCATGTCAAGGTATTCGGTTTGGCACAGTGCGTTCCCGTGTTCCACCAATTAATGAACGAGCAAGCGAATAATGATGAAAAAAAGGCTGGCCAACCTATGCCCCTGTCATTTCCCCCACATCCGCAGTGCAGATGGCAGCGAAAACACTTTTATCTACTCTTTGCATGGTCGAATTCTCACTCCTTGAGCGCTTTGAACAACTTCAAGCTGTTTATAAGACCACCCTTCTTTTGGCTCAGTATACCACAAGGTTTGAGCTTCCACTGTAGATTGAGAGCCGAGATAAAATTCTTGAAGAAGTTGTCGAAAACTCTTTTTTTTGGGTCGACCCGAGTCGACCCGAATTTCCCTTTCATTGAAATAAAAATCGACACAAGTCGAGAAATAGTAAGAAGGCAATTAAAATGTCTCATAGTGCGGAAAAAATTATGTACGTTTCAACACTGTACGAACATGATTGGGACAACTGTCATTTTCCAGGCAAAAAAATTTGTGTCGAGAAAGAACCCATTATTTATGGGCCAACCTTAAACTGCACTTGTGAGGGAATTATTCCCGAAGAAAGAGCCATAATAGCACCAAAAGTTGATCTACTCGCACGTATAGTCGTGATCCTTGCACAGGAGAGGGCGTCTGAAAGCGAGCGTAACAGGAGCGCAGCAGGGTAGCGCTTTCTATTAATTATATAATATGCAATTGATGGCGCACCCTGCATAGTGGGTTTGAAAGGCTGCTTGGCCGCGCCTCAGTCCAGCACCGCATTCTTTCAATTTCCTTTCTGACAGTCGTAGGAGTCAGAAGACGTTCGCTTCTGGGCGCATCGCGTATCTACTGTTGCTCGCAAACAAACTCAGAATATACTCGCTTTCACTCTTCCTTCTCTGCTCTGTGTGAGAATGGCTGATGACGAGTCGGTTGCTTCAATGTTACGACATCGGGTCACTCTTTTGTTTTTGAATGAAATATTTTTTCAGAGTTCGCTCAAGACCCTGTGTGGGCTTCTGCGTTCAGGTGTTACGAGGAATGGTGTGGCTACTTCTACTGTCCTCGTCCGTATGCTGTCGCTGTGCTCCTCAGAGTCGCCACCTACGACACGCCCTTTGGATCAGTACAAGTTGCCCGTCTATACCACATCTGAATCTGGAAACCATGCCACAGTTTTGTCAGATTATCAGATATTGGGCTCTTTCTGGAAATCTTTGGCTGCTGTTTACTTACACCACTTTTAGGTAACTTTTCCCGTCAGCTAGATGTGAAGAAACACTGCCGCGAGGGACTTCGAAGAACTTGTTCTGGGAGTCACTGATGAAGCTTGCGGTAAGCATATCAGTGCGCCTTACTCGCTTCGACAACTTGTGGATAACGAACTGGCGGCGTGCCAAGCCCAGCCCCCTGACACGCCCCAGCATCCGCAGCGAACAAGGCTGCACACTTACCTTCCATTCAGCGAGACAGTTTCTCTAAAGTACTTAAATTTTTTTCGGGTGTACTTCATTGACTGGCTTTCTGTAGGTTGAACTCGACGACTAGAATTCAAACTATGGCTCTGATTTTGTTATTTAGATGCACTATTCTGCTCGGGACAAAGTGAGAGTTCAGCTCGTTGCTCGGAATGCGCTCACAAGTGGGAATCCAACAAATGGGTTATCTCATGTCAGTTTTTGAAGTGATTTTTTCTGATTCTATTGCCCAAACTCTTTTCATTGTGTCGAGTTTTTGGTGCAGAAAGCAAGGCACGGCGTAGTACATTAGGGGTCGTATTTGTCATGAGGGAGGGTCAGTATTGCTTCCTGAGACCTTTCCCGAGCGGCGAGGGGATGTTTCCGGTTGTTGATTTTCCCTGGTTCGTGCCGTTACACATGCCCTATCTGCCCTCTGCCCCCTCACAACTTCACCTCTCCGTGCTGCGCGTAGTTGTTCTCTTGGAGACTGAAAAATTGGGAAAATATGTCGAAACTAGGAAAGGTGGTGTTAAGGGGGAAGAGGGGTTCGGCTCCGGATGAAAACTTCGAGGGGGGGGCGTATTTTCGCCTCCAACCGGCAGGGACGTTACCTGGCAGAAAGATGAGTGGAGGAGATTTTAGGTGATGACTGCGCCCGTGATCTTACGAAAGTGAAAACATAAGGAGAAGCCAAAGAAGAATCCACTTCCGTTCGCCCTTTGGTTCCTAAAGAGTCCTCTGGGGCTGGGTAGCTCCCAACGCCTTTGTATGGCACCAGAGAGCTCTTCAGTACGTTAAAGGCAGATCCCGCGATTATCCCCATCTCAGATAGTGGATTAGGGGTTTCCACATAGACGACAAGGGGTTGAGTAACTCGACAGTGAAGAAAAAAAGACAAAATACCATGCCCTGCTTGCCTTAGATAGAAGCGAATTTTGATTCCTAGCTCAAGTCCCAGCGTGTTTTCAGTTATCTCTATCCTCGCAACACTAGGGCTCTCATAGACAGCTGATTCACCGATGAGAACTCTACGATCGTACAAGTGAGATTTTCATGCTTTTCGTTCTGGGCAAGCCTCGTTTTTTCACTGGGGCGGAGTTGGAAGGCGGAGTCTGAGGCGGATCACTGGAAAAGGGAGATACCACTTGAACTTCTAATGCACTATAGGCGCCTCGCCCCTCTCTTAAAATTTTTTGGCCGCGAAACCGGTACAAGGTTGTTCGTCACGGAACACACTAACCTCCTGACGCGATATTTCCAATTTCGATACCTGATCGCGGACCGCGCCTTAAATTGAGACGAGCATGTTGGCTTTAGCGAGCGGGTCGGAAATTTAATTATCGGCTATTGAAAAGCAGGGTCAAAAGGAGAACTTTTCAAAGTTCAGGGATTGTGAGAAAGGATGAATTGCCACAATCTTAAATGCGATTGAAATCACTGGAGTTTAGGGTGGGATTCTCTTGGGAAGCCTGCGGCTGGAGTCAGTGACGGCAACTACTACTGGTTAGGTGACTACGAGCTGTGTTCGAAATTACGAAGGTACCATTTTGACATATTTTTCAATCTATTCGTGCGCCCATTTTCCCTTCCAGGAGCATGGCTCGCCAATATAACTCCCTTTTAGAAATATTGCCCGGGAATTTGATTTACTATTATTAATACCTAAGGTCTCGTTTTTTTTTCACGAACTTCCCATATCGCGTAGATGGGGAGGGCGCCTGGCTGCGTACCTCATTAAACATTGCGGCGGCCTACGCTTTCGTTGCATATTCTTGATTTTTGAATATTGTTATCGTGCCTACGTCCAGCAAAAGAGGATTGGCTGTTTCCGATGTAAATATCCAGTGAAATGCATTTTATCCTACAATCTATCAGAGCATGCAGCACCGGTTGCGGCGCAGTCAGCGACGCCCTCTCCATCTCAGGGGAACTGAATGCACTCGTTATTAAGAGCCATCAAGCTCGGTCCGTTTTTAATGCGACTGACATCGGTTCCTTTCATCATGGATTATAGGGGTTTTAAAGGGTTGTTTGAATTTCGATAGCTTGTCCGATCGGTCATCGCTTTCCTCATCCAAAGGTCCAGCTTTGCAGTACAGAATGCTCAGCTGTAACAGCAGTTCTTTTCGTTTATCATTACCTGTTTTAAAGTCACATTCCGTGGGTGGAGAAACATTCATTACAACTACTGTCAATTCATCATTAGCGCGAACACCCTGCTAAAGAAGTCAAAAAATGAGACGCTCATCCAGTGAAAAGGGTACGTAGCATAAGACCGATTCAGAGTGGTTTCTGAGTGTCCCGCCCATCTTGCCGGTCGCGCGCGAGTTTCCCGCCCATTTCTTCGTGCGCGCACTGAATGCGATGAGTGCCTTTTAGCCTCTTCTTATTTCCTGAAAACCATCTTCAAAGTGTGCTTGACCATTTGCATTTTCCTTCATCTAATTCCATTTTTCCACTTCAATGCTGAACATTCAGTGATGGCAAATTTTGAACGGACGGTGAACTGTAGGTGGAACTGGAGATCCCGGATGCGTTAGTGAGTTCATCTATGCAATGATGTGTTCTTCTACTGCTGTAGGTAACAATCCATTGCAGGTTGAAGAGGGCTGTGCACAGACTGATCCACTGGCGATTAGTTCTCGGGGTTTGTATGCCAACGTCATGTACGGACGATCAACTTCATCAACTGGTTCAAGGTGTTTCTTATTAGAGTAATAGAGAGGGCTGAGTTGGGTGGGACATAACTGCTACTGAACTACCAAGTGGTAGGTGGTAAGGTCTTGCCAACATTGTAAATCTCATTTATGCACCGAGAACCTCAGGGGAGAGTTGCAACGGAGACGACATGACATTTTTTTTTTTGCCTAAGCCTCAAGTGGAAAGGACGGCTGCCGGAGGTAAACTAATATTTGAAGTGCCGCAACCCCATCCTTGTGAAAGTAACCCTAGTTTTACGAAATGACTCTTTTAAAGGGCACGTACGTCCCTAACATTAAGACGAGGAGGATCAATATGTTTGGCAGTCCGCGCCCCGAGCAGGCACGACGTAGCGCCTTTTGCAAGGAAGGCATCCTTATAAGGCCTTATTAAGCTGCAAGATACCGACCCGGACGCCCACCGCGTGCGCCCGCCACAAATGGACGACTGTACCCATGCTCGTATTGCTTCATTTGCGAAGTAAAATGTGAAATGAAGGGATGGATATGAAGCGACCGCGGTGCTGCATGGATAATTGTGTACATAAATGCAGCCGTATCTACCATAGCGCTTATTGGCGGGATACTTACGAAAAAACTCGTCCAAAATTGCTTTTTGAATCTTGTAGAACGAAGGCTTTCTTTGCATGTTTTCGGCCGTTTCATTTCATTTTCCGTTTTTTTTTTCACCATTTTCTGTAAGGCTATATACACCTTGCTTGCGGCTTTAGACGCGATACCAAATTATCGTGGCCATATGCTTTAGAGGGCGCCCTTTGATTGTTAGTCTCTGCCCATTTCTTTTCTGAAGTCCGAGCCGCAGAATATAATGTTCCCGTTTTTCAGATTATTCACCGTACAAAACACTAATCGACTGTGAGCTGGACGTTCGCCTTTCGACTTCGGCTCTCATCATGTTGTAAGTGAAATGGAAAAATCTTTATTGCCTATCAAACAAAACTTATGAAAATTCATATTTACTGTCAAGTTGCGTTGGAAGCATAGCAGTCCGCAGAACGCTCCAGAGATTTCCTGAAAGGTTCGGGCAACAAAGTCTCTCCGTTCTAACTGTAGGAGCTTTCCTGTACATAGACTCCTTTTTGTATATATGATCATTAGCATAATTAAGTACGGGGGGGGCGATGCGGGGGCGGCGTGGCTGTGGCAACGTCGTGTCAGCTCGTCTGAGCGCTCCTCATCGAAGAAAAGAGGGCCACTCAAATCCGTTTCATAGGACTCGAAATGATATAGGAAGGGGAGACGCGTTGTGGATAGTGAACAGCGTTGCATTTGGGGTCCCTGTCAAATTAGTTTTGTTCAAAATGAGAGCACCAGGAAGACACCGTCATGCCATGCAGTTTTTCGTCCCTGAGTCGGGCAGCTAGATTGTGTCAACGGCCATTTTGGAAGCGCAGAAACTGGGAAAATTCGACGATAATTCTGTAGGTACTGCGTATCGCATAACATAGTGAATTTCATGGAGCAATACCAGTTTCTCCCTAAGGTCATCATGGATTCAAATAAGACCCCATTACATTAGAGGTGACGATATGTTTTCTGGTTTGGCGCTACAGGTGCTTGGCACACTGTGCTTGAGTCTGCAGTCGTCTTTCTGGATGTGTCTCAATATCAAAGTGAATGTCGGCCGGGCACTCTCAACTAAACGGTCTGTCGATTTCTACTTTTTTACAATTTCATGTAGAAATCAGGGAGCAAAATTTTTTTCTGGAACTTCTTAATACATGCATTTTTACGACAGTTTAGTGCTCCACAGAGCCTTCATGCACTTCATGGTCTTGAATTTATCACATTTATCTGGTTGGCCACGGCAATGGTCTATAACTATATGCAACCTTACATTGGTGAGTGCACTTTTAGCATACTATTTATTTGTTACTTTACCTTTAACCCAAACCCAGTGGTTCTCCCTGAAAAGCACTTTCAGGTGGCTCTCGAAATCTATTAATAACCCCCAACGTATCAGCTGAAAGTGTTAGTTGTAAAGTATTATACTGGAGCTTTTGCGAATGAGAGGGAGGGGTAAGATTTCTCAAGGGGCCCACTTCTTTTCTGAATGAATTCATTGTGACTGGTTTTCTCCTCGCCTTCAGTAGGTAAGGAATTGCCGAAACAGACGGTGTGATCAATGTACATGCAGCTGTTGGGGAAAGATTTTGCGCAACACTCCCCCCCCTGAATTCTTCCTCTGGTGCGATCCCATACACATCGCCCACCCTTCCTACCGTCCAACTTTCTGCCAGTCTCCCAGACTTTTTCAAAAATTGGCCAGATTCGCGCGTGAAACGGGATAAACCGAGAAAGCAGGGAGAAAAAGGTGAACTGGAAAAAAGCGTTCCCACTCAAAGAGGAACGCGTCCTCCTCCAGTGACCAAACACGACCCCTCTCGCTGAGGATTGCCAATGTACGAGACGAGGGGTGCTACCTAGGGGTACGTTCGCCAAACCTTGAATCAGATATTTACCTTCGTCTACAGTTCCATTTACTTTATACAAGATCTTTGAGGCGTAAGGATTGAAAATTACAGAGAACGTCGCGTTTTCATACGATGGCGTCTCCTCGCTGGCTACTCACCCTACTAACAACTATTCATATCTGATAGATGGCCTTTTGGCCCTTTCTGCTCTGTATACTACTTATTTGCTCTATGGAGATGTCGCTACAGTCAGTGATATCGTCGATGTGATACGAGTCACTTTGCTCAGGTAGAAAACACATTTTGCTCTGATTTAGTCCAAAGGTAATGTGTGCGTTAGCTAGGAGGCGGGGCAGCTGCTCAAACGTCATTGTGGGAGAGCCACGAAATGTTCTCTCCAGCCTACCTTTGAAACAACCGTTGGCCTTCATGTATGGTTCTTATCGTCGCAATCAGTTGGGGCGGTTCGAAGGGGTGCGTCCCGCCTGGTCTTTTACTTCCGCAATCCGGCCAGTTATGGGTTTTGAGGGAAGCACACAACCAGTGTAGAAAGCCCACGCAGACGGCATCACTCCTGCTTTATCTGCACCATAGACCCCCCTCTTTCCAAGTGACTGTGACGATATCAACTGTACTACGACAAGCGTAACTGCAAGTACAGTTCAGTGTACTGATGAAAAGATAAAGGAATTAATATTGTATTATAAGGCAGATTCTGGCGCAGCTTTACGCCCTTTTGTGTACTATTCATCCGTGGATTCTGTTCCTGAATTGTCAGCAAAGGTCTCTTTGGCATACACACGGATACCGTATCGTTTTCGTATATCATAAGCCCGTCGCGAACCTGATTCCCGGCTGATTTTTACACCTCCCCCTCGTTCTCATCGCCAGTGTGAGAAGTAGTAGCCAAGTCGAGTAAAGGGCGCTTGGCACTATTTACCCTTTTACTGCCCCAACAATCCCGAATTGAGCCAGTTTCTGACCGACTTTTTTCTCCGTGGATAGATTTGGCTCAAATGTTGTCTCCTGGGGTATTTTGACCTCCTGAATGCGAATAAGACATTCGCATAGCCGAACTCTGGCGCCCCGCCACAGGCGCCGGTGATCTGGGGTATTTTGGCGCCAGCACCTGTAGCGCGGGCGGCAGGAGGTTTTGCGCTTAGCGGATATGATATTCGTCATCAGGCCGCGGTCAAAGACCCACCGCTGGGAGCAAGCTTTTCAGGCCGCATCCTAGGTGCATTTCGACATCATTTTTGGCGCAGGCCGCCCGCCCGTTGCGCGGCGGGCGCCAGGGTTCGGCGTCGAGCCGATGCGATATCGTGTTCAGCCGGGTCGACTACCTGCGAGATCCAGTTTTCACAGCACTCTCGACCCCAGGAGACAACAGTCGTCAGCCGACTGGCCTATTTACGGATGACTCGGGGCAGTAAGGCGTAATACGCTGCCCCGGCGCTATGTTCTACCCGAGTTAGGCCGTGTGGGAAGAGCAGGGGGTGGGCGGGGTGGCGAAGCCAGCCACGTTTTTCTTTAACTAACATCTGTTCTTGAAAGAGCTTCCATACTGTCAGCCCTAGTGTTGATCTGCTGGCGCGCTCCAGAGCAACAAAATTGCGAAGTATAAACGCCACTGTAAGACAAACTTGCTGAAGGAAAGACGCAGTGAGCGCTATTCCGATGAAAGGCGCCAAGGTGCATCAGACGACATGCGACTCTATGTCTGCCGCAGCACCATGCCTCCTCTGCATTCCTAGTACTTTTCACAATATTTTGTATGGAACGTTCTTGCGCACGCCAGCTGCAAAATAGGGCGTTGGTCGGCCGGATGGCAGCGATATGATAATGACAGCTATGGATTCGCAATGTATGAACGATCTTTCTCAGCATGGAACGGTGCTCGAACAATTGTGAAAAAATACTTTTATTTATCTTATTAACAATTTCTTTACCGGGTGTCAAAAGTCAGCGGTAAACAAACATATCAATTGTCTTCGCACATTTAGTTTTACATCCTAGGCCGCAGTTTCGCGCTTGGTGGATGGCACTAACTGTACTCCGTAACACCTGGTCTAGCCATTTGTCCAAGCGCCCGGCGTTTAAATCCTGCTAGCCAAAGTGGGCACCATGTCATTTTATTTTACTTCACAGGAGTTCACAGGTCTCACCAAAGTATGCAAAAGAAACTAGCGAAAATGCAAAATGCACCTCCCAAGCCGAACAGCACCACATTCCTGTTTCGAGAATAATCAGAAGGGCTTAAAATGTGTTCATATTGAAGTGTGTCGACTTTGGCTACGTCGTCTCTCATCGTAGAGAGCGCTCTACATTCATTCCTTTGTGGTTCTGATATATGTGGCAGCAAAACTAGACGCTACCTTGCCAAGCGGCTGGTCGCGCAAACTGTTTTCTGTCATATGCTAGCTCTCTTTCACTATGAATACAAGTAGTGTCTATTGCAAAACAGGTTTCCACGAGCGGGGCTGAAAACGGTACCTCCTCAGTCAGATAGGGTCCTCTATTTAGGAATACAGCATCAGGATGGCGAGGCAATACGCGCTGCAAACCACGGCACTAATCTAACTTTAATTTTCGCAAATCTATTCCCACAAATACGCAACCATTCGTAGACGTCTTTCCCCAAGACACATTTCTAGAACTGGCGCGCAAGGCCGGAGCATGTAGTGGTTCGTCACCCAGTCAAACTAACTGCTTTCTCTATTTCAACTATCGAGGTGCGAGACACGTTGCCTCCTATTGGAGAAAGAATTTTTTCTCGTTGAAGCACGGGATACCCTCCCCCCCCCCTTCCCCTCCTGAAGGGCTCTGCCAAAAACGATGCGTGTGCCAATGCTTTTATCCCATGAGCTTGCTCGTCCTCACCATGAATTCAACATTCCAGTCGTTGCCCGTCATCATCATGTCGTTTCGATTTCATGGAGTTTCTATGCGCAGCTTTGGATGGCTGCTCTTTATCCGCCGGCTCGCGCTTCTTCACCGTCGAACCACCGTACGTGAGCTACTACATTTAATTTGAATTTTTTCGAGGATCGGAAGCAACGATTGCCAAGCAGTTTTGAGATCGTTGAGGTGTGACCTCATCTGAGGAATGCGAGGTGGGTATCACCAGAACATCCCAGTAAGGCTGCGTTTATACTTTGCGGCAGCGTAGCGTAGCGTAGCGCAGCGTAGCGTAGCGCTTCCAGCGTACGCCAGCGGCAGTGCCGAAGAGAGGATGCATATCGATCTAGCTTCACCAGCGTCACAGCCAGCGGCACGCTAGCGTACGCCAGCGTTTCTCCAGCGTTTCACCAGCGTTTTGCTAGCGCTTGCAGCGGCAGGGGAGTAGAGACCATGGGAGAGCTGGGAGGGTACAAAACACATCGATTGCGCGTCTCTCACTCGCCCTTAGTCTCTACAATGCACATCGCTTCTGCGTCTCCGACGGCCCCATAGTCTCTACAATGCACATCGCTTCTGCGTCTCCGACGGCCACATAGTCTCTACAATGCACATCGCTTCTGCGTCTCCGACGGCCACATGGTCTCTAATACACGTCGATTCCGCGTCTCTCACGGCCACATAGTCTCTACTCCCCTGCCGCTGCAAGCGCTAGCAAAACGCTGGTGAAACGCTGGAGAAACGCTGGCGTACGCTAGCGTGCCGCTAGCGTACGCCAGCGTGCCGCTGGTGACGCTGGTGAAGCTAGATCGATATGCATCCTCTCTTCGGCACTGCCGCTGGCGTACGCTGGAAGCGCTACGCTACGCTGCCGCAGTAGTAACGCAGCCCTAAAACAGAACTCTAACTTGAATGATCCTGAGAGAAGAAGTTCGAATACAGGGCAAAGATAGAGCGCTGCTGCATGTATTGGATGTAAAAACTACCGCGGGCAAGCCCTTTTGCCTTTGCCCCGGCTCGCCCGATTAGCTGAGCTCCAGTAGTACGGGCGGAGGGAGTAAATTACCTAGAAAAACATGGCTCTTGTACAACCGTGATCCCGGCAATGCATGAAGTGAAGAGTGGGGCGTGATTGGATTGCTACCAAGGCGGCCTTCTTCACCAATTAATGCCATCGTGGGTCCGCAGCGGGTCCTACCACTGTAGAAAATCCCTGCAAAATACGAGCTCCTTCAAAAGTTTTCCGCGTTCTGATGCGACCGGGGGCACCTGCTCCAGGGCAACCAATATACGGCCCATGCTTAGCGGTCATCCCAATGTAGGATCATGCGCTTGGTTAGGGCTAGGAAAGGCCTGTTCTGCCAGTGCACGCTACAACTCCGCCTTTTCACGCGCTGCCTACCTGACTAACATAGTATGGGCGGAGCAAGTGGCGGTGGCGCATTCGGCGAAGGGATCGATAGCCGGCTTTCATGGCAGGAGACCTCGGGAAATTTCTGAAAAGGTTATGTAGAAAGTGGTACTGTATCTTGAAAGAAACGACGTACTTGTACATTTTGATAAGTAATTCTAATTAGCGACTTACTTTGGCAGAATTTTAGGGTTGAGCAGACCGAGCGTATGCTGAATGAGGTGCTTGTGTCACCACTGACCAGAGCTTCACCAACCATAGTTGGTTTTCTGTTTGGTGTATGCATGTGGAATGAGGATGGTATGCTATACAAAGACATTTTTGGAAAGGCAAGTTGAACCATATTTCCTTTGGTTTCCTTTTACCGAATGTGCTGAAAAGCTCGAAGTAGCCGTATCACGGGAGAATGGATCAGGGGTGCGCTGCGTACGCGAGATACCTTTGGCGGGATGTCTCCATTTGAGCTAACTTTCATTCTGTCCCGAGCTGGACAAAGACATGCTTACAAGTGTCTCAAAGCGAAAATATCCCACAAGGAAAAGCAGCTCCGCGCGACCCTTGAAGGAAGTGCCAGAACACGCCCTCTCATCAACAGAGACATGGATACGTTGTTCGAGTCAACTATCTAGAAAATACCCCTACTATAAGTACGCGTGTGCGCGGATATGTTTTTGTTGTTTTTTAGTGTTGTTTTTTGTCGCACATCCTATAGCGCATGATTTCGATTAATTTCCCTTTCATTTGTTCACGGTAATGCTTTCCGCTTGTGGGCAAGCGCTGTAGGAACTGTTTCGTTCATGTTCTCCGTTTCATGCCCTTTCGCTACTTCTTCGGTTGGCCATCCGGTGTTCCTGGCCTTCTACGCCGCTTTTCATCGACCCCTTTGGGCCATCTCTCTTCTTTCCTTCCTCTACCTCTCACATCATGGTTCATTTTGTAAGTCATCTTCACATTTCTGCAGTAAGCTTTTTCTGATTTTTTTAGCTTTTTAAGGCGACAGGAAAAGTGGGCGACCTTAACGAGAAGTGAAGCGGCTTCGGCTACGGGCGCTTGGATCCTGGAAGGAAAGGGAACAAAAAAATAAAAATAATATAAATATAAATATAACAAATAAAAAAAAAGAACAAAATCATCGCTAAAAAGGCCAGCCAAAAAAGTTGGTAATAACGACCCTGAGAAGCTTCATAAGAAGTGGCCTCCCTTGGACACCTTGTATTTCGTTTGTGAATGTTAGAGACTTCAATCAGAGAAAGAGAGCAGGACAGGGTCAAGAGTCACGTGAAAATCGCTCGGTCGGTGTCACCTTCTCAAGAAAGAAGTCTCCATATGACCCCTCCCCACCTTGTAGGCTATCAAGATGTCCACTCTTTCTGTAGGTAATGGCCTTCCTTGGACAGCTTGTATTTCATTTGTGCAGTACCGTCTCCTCCCTACCACCAAGTCACCTTAAAACATTGACAGGGTTCGTGTTACAAATGTCTACAGTCACATGCGACCCTTTCGTCGCAGATTCCGTGAACGCTTGGCCCTAGGACTAGGTTCTGAAATTGTCCTCCATGCCCCTTCCAGATGGGTTTTCTGTTATAAATATAAGGAGACAGATTGATGTTACCCGATGACCTTATATTTATGTGGTGCAGGACGCCGCAGTTTCCCTATCAAGAGATATGGCCAAATTTCCCCATCATGGGGAAGTATGCCTTTGACTGTAGCATCCAGCAATTTATTTATTTTGCCCAACCTCAGGCGCTCATAACTGGGGCAGGGGGACGAACTGTACCTGGAAGCTTTTTCGTTTGTCTTTGTGCAGTCGTGTCTCACCCTGCAAGTCCTGTAAATCCTTGCCAGGTACCTTGCAAACTCCTGTCACAGTTGATGACATGGTAGTAGCGTCACGGAAACACCAATTCTTTATTTTTTTACCAAACCTGACGAGTAATTTCGACAAGTTTGACAGGAATTTACGGAGTGTTTGGCAGGTGATAACGGGGCTTTCATGGTTTCGCCAAGGTTGTCCAGTATTTACACTTATATAGGATTTGATATGCTGACAAGGGCTTACAGGTGTGCCCCCTCAAGGCTATTAGCGCTCAGCCTCATTTTTTTCAGCTTGGATTCATGCCATTCTGACGTGGCGCATTTTCTCGCCACTTTCGAAACTCACGTGGATCGCACTCGTCTTCACGGAACCGATTATTCTGTACTTCTTCTCATCGTTGTATCGACCATCTTACGCTACCAATTGGAGTACGGTAAGTGTTTTGTGAAAAATCTTCCGAAAATTCTCGCCGTTAGGAATCGCTGCTCAAAAATTTAGCTTCGGCCCCACCCGAAAGCCCCCACGCGCGAAAATAGAACTGGGATCGTTAACCTAGCTAGGAAGGCCAGAAATGCTTCCGCCACTATGCCAAGCATTGTTGGAATATGTTCACCTCGCTTCAACTCGTCCCCAATCATGAAGGGCCATGATCCAGAGAGGTGGTTAAGTTTCGGGGTGCCTGCCAAAGGAACCGTGCGATTTGGGCGAACATACTGACCCAATGATTCTCGGCCTAAAGAGAGCTGTGGTTAGGGGCGCAACGTATTGAAACGAGGATTTTTTTCGAACACGATTCTCTCCACCAATTCCCTCCTCTGGTCCTCCCCAGCGCGACCACCTAGGAAGAACGGAACGCATGACGCATGGAAATCACCAAGCAGAAAATCCTATTATGGCGTAATATTAGGTTGTCCGGAAAGGAATGCGCGTTGAATTTTTTGAACTTGTCCATTTTTTCTCTCCTACTATAGAAGATTTTTGGAGACAGTTTTGTCTATTAGAAAGAGATTTTTATTGTGCTTCTTTTGATATATTTTTGTCCATGTCTACTTTGCTTTTTTTGGGGAAAAAAAAGTTGGGAAGAGCGGGTGCCGCACCAGCTGAGTCGACAGCGTTTTTCCGACTCTATTATTACATCAAATGAGAAAAGGGTCTGCTTCGATAACGCACCGAAAAAAGGACAGTGGTTAGACTCCAGTGACCCTCCAAAACGGACTTCCGAAACGCTGATTATACCGCGGCAGAAAAGCTGATGCTCGTGTTTGGGTGAAATAGCAAGTTTGATGTACTTTGAAGTTCCGGAATCGGGTCAGACGGTTACGGCGGACATCTGCAAACACCAGTTGAACCGCATGGATCCAGCACTGCGTCTTCAAAGTGTCGAAACGACGTCGACAAAATTTATCCACGACAACGCTCATCCACATGTGGCGAAAATCACTCTAGAAAAAAATTGAGGAATTGGGCTGGAAAGTCCTGCCTCATCCGCCACACAGATCAGACCTGGCACCATCGATTACCATCTGTTCCGGTCGATGCAGAACTCCCTGGCCGAGAGAAAATTCACAAACCGCGAAAAAGGTCCAACTCTGGGTGTCCAACTTCTTTGAGTCGCAGCCGGTCGAGTTCTTCAGAAGAGGAATCCATTTTTTGCATAAATGTTGACAACAAGTCATTGATACTAATGGAGATTGTCTTTTGAATTTATCTTGTTTAATTTCGTTTTTATAATAAAAAATTTTTAAGCTCGAACGCGCATTCCTTTCCGGACAACCTAATATTATCCCTCTTCTCCTCCAGCGACAGAATACCGACCCTCCGGCGTTCCAAGCGCTTCTGTGGAGGACTCACCAATGCACAACGTACCTTGTCGGTGGTAATATGTTCCTCCTGCGTTAGAAGCCGAAGTTATAGATTATGGCGTGCTTCGTACACACTTAATGTATATCTACGACCAACGCCTAACCCATCAGAAGTGTTGGTCCAGGGTTGCCCAGGGACTCCTTGCTCGCGGCGGCAGCCTTCGTCTCATTGCATCCGCTTTATGCGAATAATATATGGTGTTGATTCAACAAGGCGTGATCGGCGCTACTCGATCCCGTTTCTCTCAGAACGCCGCTCATTCATTATTCATCGGGACGACGTGCCGCTTTTCGCGCGACTACGGTCGTTTCGGCTCCTCCTCCGCCTCCCAATGATGCAAGTGTGAGCTTTTAGGCTTCTACGAACAGATATACGGCAGAATTTGACGACTGCCGAAAAAAGGCGTGGTTGCTATTACAATCGCGGTCCTGGTCCAAATCCTTTCACGCCAACGAAGCAGGCTAGGTTTTGGCCAGGACAGCTTACCTCAGACTCCCATCGAACCTACTTAGTGCTCTTGGGCAGGGTTTTTTTCCAGGCGCAGTTCGGCGACGAGGGGCATTTTGCACTTTCATTCCACCACTAGTTCCGGTTTGCATACATTACCTGATGAAACCTGTGAACTCCTGTGAAGCTGGAGCAAGCTCGTCGAGCCACAGTGTGCCTGTCAACCCACGAAAAGGCTCTCTAGATGGGTCGACACATCGATGGGAAGTAGCAAAACTGCAAAATGCCCCCAGTCGCCGAACTGCGCCTTTTTTCCACTTATGCTATCTAAACATCTTCGACATTCACAAGTTTGGATGGGGTTGAAAGCGGGTCCAAAAGTGATCGATCAACAATTCGCAGGAAGATGGCAAAGAAGCCTGGCTATGACTTGCCAAGTACAAAGTGATTCTGCCTTTTCACC